ACCCTATGCCAGAGCCAGGATGGCTCTGGGTTAGCCTCATTGTGCTCCTCACAGGCAGAGCAGGGGTGGCTTGTGGTGCTTTGCCCCCACCTCTGCGTCTGCCTCCAGGCAGGAAAGAGGGTGCAGAGATCCTGATCCTGTGCCTGTAAACCACCTTTCTCCGAGGCTGCAGAGCTAGGCCTCCGGCTCTCGGAGCCCCTCTGCCTGATGCACGCAGCTGCTGCTGGAGAAGCTGCCTGCCGCCTGCCTGCTTTGCCCTCTCCTGCGTGTCAGGCAGAGGTGCCTCCGCTGGCCTGGAGAGCCTGCGCACCCTGTGGCTCCTCGGGGGCCTCGTGGGGAGCCTCTGCTCACCTCCACACCTGCGCCATCACGCCTTGACAAGCTGACTCACCCAGCAGCCCCAGAACTCAGCTCCTAGCCCCTGTGCTGACATTGTGAAGGCCGCATGCCCTGGGCAGTGGGTAGGAAGAGGGTCCCTGAATGCCAGCTGAGGCCGTGCCGGAGCTGACCAGACCTTTCGATCCCAAGACAGCATTCATAGGTTCTGTCAGTGCAGCTGGGAGGTCCCTGGGGGACTTCCAAGGCCACTGTGCCTGCGGCAGCCATGTCTCTAGGCCCTGAACAAGACTGACTTTTTTAGATCCTCAGACCGTTCTGTAGGGACTTCCTGCTTTCAGCATGCTGGCATAAAGGCCAGATTCCCCTGCCACTCCCTGAAGCACCCTCACCAGCACCGGGTTAGCCTGGAGACAGCAGCTGCAGCCACAGCGCACCTGGCCGGAACCCCCTGAGGCCTCCGCCCTGCGCTCCGAGCTAGACACCCTCCAGCTCCGGAGGTTCCAGGAAGAGGGCCAGATGCTGTGAGACCCCAGGGTCGTGGGGGTGGGGGTCAGGGTGGTTCATGCTTGGCCTTGCTATCTAAGCTACTCTGCACACCTGTGGGGTCAGCTGTTGGCTGATCTCTGGACAGGGCACGCGCTGGCAGCTCCCTTGTCTCCCTTGTCTCCTGGTCCACGTGGGACACACATGCTGTGGCTCCAGTTCTCGTTTCTTGGTCTGTGCCCTCACAGGTGCGGGCTGTGGAGTGCGCTTGGGTGGGATGGGAGGTCCGAACACCACTGCTGGTCTCTTCCCGCATGAGCATCGGGAGGAGCTGTGTGAAACTCAGCTAGGCAGTGAAGATGGAGGGCCTCACGTCTGCCCCAGCTGCCTGCAGAGACTCCAGGGTGGTTCAGGCGTCATAGGAAGCCAGCATCAGCTCCGCCTTCTTAGCACCTGTGTGAGAGCTGTTAGGTTCTCCTGGACCCAGGAGCCTGCTGCTTCTCCACCTGTCACACAGCACTCCCACAGGTCGACTTCCAACTTCTGGCGGTCCTGTCTGACCTGCCCCTTGGGCCCCAGGCCCTGGGCTGTGGATCCTGCGACTTGGGGATGGAGTGCATTATGCCAACCCCAGGGAGGAAGCTGAAAGAAGTTAGTGGTGCTGGCTAGTGTTACTAGTGTGAGGGCTCATCTCAGAGGGCCCTCCAGGGGTGCTCTTGACCTTGGAGTCCAGAACCTGGATATGCCTTGGGCCTCTGTTAGAGACCCTTCAGGGTATCAGATGGCTTCCCGTGGTGTCCAGGCTCTGATAAGTTGAGCATACATCTGTTCCCTTGATCTGTCCTTGCAGGGTGAGGACAGGAAAAGGGCTTGCTGTCTCCCATGGGTGATGAGTGCCTGTAGAGGCCAAGGAGGAGAAAGAGGTGGAGTCAGAACACAGGTCCTGCTGGGAGAGCAGCACCTTTTCCGCTGTGTCCCTGATGACACCCAGGACTGAAGGTGCAGGCGAGCCCTCAGGGAAGGGGGGTCTCAACAGGGGGCCCTGGCCTCTCCAGGGCGAGCGCTCCTTCCCAAGGTGTGTCAAGTCCTGGCATCAAGGCTGAGGCCTGGGCCTCCACCCGTTGCTGCTGAGGAGAGGAGTCCAACAGCTGTGAATGGGGAGTCTGTCTGCCTCCCCCGCGTCACAGAGACGGGTACTGTCCCAGCGGAGCCAGATCATTGCCCCAGTAAAAGTGGCTGCTGTTCTGGGTGAGCACAGTGGCCTGAGAGCTGAGAGGGACAGTGTGAGAGGGATTGGCCAGTATTGGTGGTTGTGTGGCCACAGGACCAGTGCTGTCTGGGCAGTGGGAACAAGGATGCTGGGACTGGGCCAGGGTGACGCGTTCCTTCCTTCTCTCCCTCCCTCCCCACAGGCTCGCAGCCCTGAGCAGCCGGGAGACTCGGCTGCAGGAGGTGCGCTGTGCCTTCTTGGCCGCATACAGCAGCACGGTGGGTCTCCGGGCCGCAGCCCCAAGTCCGTCTGGTGCCATCGGGGGCCTGCTGGAGCAGTTTGCTCGTGGGGTCGGTCTGCGGGGTGCCAGCAGCAGCGCCTTGTGAAACAGCCAGCCCATGGTTTCCTGCTCCTCTTTGCTGAGCCCTTCGTGGAATCAAAGCCATTGCCTGGCCAAGGGGTTCCTCCGGGTCAGAGGGGGTCACACACACAGCAGGGCCAAGGACAGGGTTTCCCTACCCCAGCCCCTGACTGTTGACTGCGACCCTCGTCACTGCCTCACACCCACCCACGACTTTGTCAGGGTCCCCCTCAACTCCCAGAAACTGGGGTCTCCCTGGGGCCTTGCAGAGGCCATGACTTGGCGAAGGACTCACCCACCGTTCTGATTTCCTGGAAGGGAGGGGTCACTTGCACTGAAACGAGGCAGTTTGACACTGATCACACAATAAAATCAAAGTCCTTTTGAACAGCCGCTCGTGCACTCATCTGGTCCTGTCTTGTGAGCTTTGGGGGGAGGTTCTCATTTGCCTGCCTTGTGGGTGGGTATGGTGAACAGGAAGGGAGCTGGAGGCTCAACCCGAGCCACAGTGGCCCCCCAGCAAAAGGGGACGCGGACTCCCCAGGCTGGTAGGCTGGAAGCCACGGACCCTCTTCACCTAGGGAGGCTGCTCACCTGTTAGGTTGCCAGGGCTGCCTGCACTGATCCTTGTGGATGCTGGGTCCTTGCTTGGCTGAGAAGGGGAAGGGCATGCTCACCTTCCCTTCCTCTGTTGGAGGGGTCATGGTCCAGTGTGGCCAGGACAGTGTCCACATCTCAAGCCGTGAAGCCCTGAGAGTTGAAAGGTGTGGGGAGAGGGCTGGGTCCAGGGCCCTAAGAGCTTCCCTCAGCAGTCTGGCCCCACACAGCATTCAGCTTGAATGCTGAGGCCGTAATGCCAGCAAACATTTATCCAGCACTGGCCGCGTGCTTTCTGCTTTCCTTGGGTTATCTGTAAAATGTTGAGCACCACAGATAGCTGCTAGAATGGCTCATCCATGAGAATGAGCACAGAGGTGTTGGGTCACTCGCCCAAGGTCACACAGCTATTAGGAACAAATGGAACTTAAGAGACCCGGTGTGAGAGGAGGGAAACTTGGAGCAGCCCCCCGCGCCCACTGGTATCCAAGTGCTTCAGCACCGCGGACAGCTCGCGGTGGGGGTGCGCGTAGCGCGGGGTGAGGCGTAGATTGGAGTTGGGGTCTGGGTAAGGGTCTCAGCCGGCTTCCGGCTGTTCCAATGGGGCGGGGGCCGCCTGCAGGGCCAGGCGGGGCTGTGCTGCCATCTGGAGCTGCTGCCGCCAGCGGCCACTGCCAGGGCGCGAGCGGCGGGAGCGCACGCAGGGCTGGCGGGAGCGCAGCCGCCGCCGCCGCCACACATGGGCCGGCCCCGCGGACGCCCCTAGCTCTGCGGTCTGGGTCTCAGCCTTCCGCGGCTCCGGTCGCCCGACCAGCCATGTCTCTCAGCGGAGCCTCGGAGCGCAGCGTCCCGGCTACCAAGATTGAAATCACCGTGTCCTGCAGGTGAGCGGGCCGCGCTGGGGAGGCTTAGGCACCGGCACTGCCCCAGCCCCAGTCGGCTCTGGGGCCCACTCAATGCGGGCAGGGGCTGGAACTCGGGGTGGGGGGGAGGCCTCGAGGGACAGGGGAGCTGCTGGCGGGAACGAGGAGGGGCTTCCTGCGCGGCTCCACCTCAAGAGGAGACCTCAGCCTGCGGGTTCAAGGGCTGTGTCCGGGGGGTCCAGGAAGCTGGGCCCGGCGGACTAAGTGATAGGGGAGCTCTCTCCTGGGCCCCTCTGCGTCCAGTGGGCAGAAAGAAGGTCCCGGGCAGGGGTTTCCGGCGCTGTGCTGAGTGAGGACAGCGCAGACCCCGTTGGGGCGGGCAGGGAGGCGCGACACAAGGGGCGGGGGCTCGGGGGCCAGCGCCCTCTGTCCGTCGGTTGCTTTTCCCTAGGAACCTGCTGGACCTCGACACCTTCTCCAAGTCTGACCCCAGTAGGCGGCTGCGGCGCGGGGCAGGGGGCCTGGGGACCGGGGCGCGGAGCCGGGCGGGCAGGGGCCGGCGAGGGGCGCGGCCCGACCCGCTCCTCCCGTCCCGCAGTGGTCGTGCTGTACACGCAGAGCCGGGCCAGCCAGGAGTGGCGGGAGGTGAGTCCCCAGCCCCCTCCCCGCCCAGGGCCGCGCCCTGGAGCCGCCTGCAAGGGGCGCCCCTCGCTGACTCTCCGCCCGCCCACCCCAGTTTGGACGGACGGAGGTGATTGACAACACACTGAACCCGGACTTCGTGCGCAAATTCGTCCTCGACTATTTCTTCGAAGAAAAGCAGAATCTGCGCTTCGATGTGTGAGGCCCTCGCTCGGGGTCCTGGCTGGCCCCGCCCCTCACCGAGCTGGGCCCCGCCCCCTGGCTCTCACCCCCACCCCTGCCCCTCTTGCAACCGGGCCGACTCACGCCCCCTCCCCCTTCTCTTGACAGGTACAACGTGGACTCCAAGACCAACATCTCCAAGCCGGTGAGCGGGCGCCTCTCGCGGGCGGCGGGGAACAGGAACGCTCCGAGGGGTTCCACGACCCTCCTTCCCTATGGCCAGACCCCTGCCCTACCCTCCCGACCCTGTCCCACCAATGCCCCTTCCTCACTGTGCCTCTTCCCTCCCGGCCGCTGCTGGCGCCCACAGAAGGTAAGGCTGCAGGGGTGTGTGGGGCACGCAGGGGCTAGGCGAGGGGTGGAGGAGGCTGATGGTGGTCACAGGAGCAGGGCTGCCTGCGGACCCCTTCCCCAGCACAGGCCATGGGCAGGAGCCCTGCCGCCTGCCCCAGGGTCAGCTGGTCTGGGGCAGCGGCTTGACTGGCCTGGTCTGGGAGTCCACGCCCTGGCCTCATGAGTCCCCATGCTGTCCCTGCAGGATTTCCTGGGACAAGCGTTCCTGGCCCTGGGAGAGGTGATCGGAGGTCAGGGCAGCCGCGTGGAGCGACCCCTCACGTGAGCTGAGGGAAGGGGTGTGGGCAGGGAAGGGGACCTCCTCATCCTCTCCCGCAGGAACGCCGCCTGCTCATCAGTGCGGACTGCGCTCGCCGGGGCGGCTCTCACCTCGTCGTTTTCCTTTAGGGCCACTTAGAGCTTCCCTGGGCTAGTTCAGCCCCTCGGGGACTTGCACTGGGGTCACTGGGGACTGCACTTGATAGCCACGCCCTGTCCCCAGCTACTGCCAGCAGCTCTCCGGGGGCCGGGTTGCACTGGTGGACTAAAGGCACCCTGCCGACAGGGGGCTTGTACTCTAGCGGGGGGGGGGTGTGTGTGTGCACAACACACATGCGAACCCATGATGTCATGGGTTGGAAGACATGAAGAAGGAAAGGCAGAGCAGACGGGAGAGGAGGACCTGGACACGCTGGGTGGAGGCGTGTGTGCCGCGGGGTGGTCAGAGAGAAAGCCTCTGTCAGCTCGGAGCCAGGACCTGGAGGAGGGGCGGGACTGAGCCGCGCAGCCATGGGGGTGGGGGGTTCAGGCAGCATAAATTGCCGGCGCCAGAGAACGGCAGAGAGGCTGCAGACTTCCCAGGGCAGCCCTTGGAGCTGCTTAGCTTTTCCCCTGAGAGGGGAGTCCCTGGAGGGGCTTCCAGGGGGATGCCGCTGGCTGCTGAGCAGAGAACAAACCTTGGGTGCGCGCAGGCGGAAGCAGGGGGGCACCTGCTGCAGTGCCCCAGGGTGCAGCATTGAAGGAGGGGAGAGGCCGGCGGGTTCTGCATGTGCATTTAAGTAAATGCATCTCAGGCAGGCGAGAGGGTGCCGTGTGCTGGCTCACTGCTCAGATGCCCTCCACAGCCAGGACGCGAGCTCCATCCAGGCCTCCCTTGTGCGTGGCAGGATCGTAGCCCCCCCACACACACACACACACAAGGGTCTGTGTTGGCAGAAAGCTGGGCTTGGGGGCCGGAGGATCTGAGCCCAGGCACTTATGTGGGCTGTTATGGGCTTAGCTGCTGGGATGAACGCCTGCCCTGGACGCGGAATCTATTTTGAGGATGGAGCCAGTGGGTTCCTGACAAATTGAATACGGGTGTGAGGGAAGCAGGTTGAGGATGGCACCAAAGCCCGTGGCCTGAACACCTGGGGTGCTTTAAAGGAAGGGGGGGTGGGGGAGAAGCTTGAAAGGAGGCAGTCGGGAACAGGTTTCCAATGAGGATTCAGTCTGATGAGATCGGTCACAAGGTGGGTCCTCGGAGCGAGGGCGGGGCAAGCTGCTTTCTGGTTCTGTTCCTTGTTTGTGCATAGGAAAGGGAGCAGGAGGCAAGGAGAGGAGGCGTAGCTGGGGCGGGTGGCCTGGGGCCGACAGCATGGACGCCAGGGAGCTCACAGCCCTGGGAGGAGCAGGCAGGCGCGGCTGTGTGGGGGGAGGGAGCAGTGGGCGAGGTGTGTGGTGGGTGGACTTTCTCTCCTGTCAGCGAGTAGGAAACAGGGTCACCGGCTGAGGGAGGGGCAGAGAGGGGTCTGAGGAGAGCGGAGGAGTGAAGCTGCCACCTGGCAGAGCTGGAGAGGGAAGGGCCAGGGGCGCCCGGTGTGACCACCAGGCAGTGTAGGACCTTCTGGTGCTCGGTTTACAAAGGGGACAGGACCGCCTCTGTCCGTGTTGAGCTGCGCGGTGCAGGCTGGGGCAGCAGAGAGCTGGGTTTCGCAGGTCCAGCTTGGTGAGAGCAGGGCAGTGGAAGAAGCAGGAGGCGGGGATGGATGACTGGAATTTGCAGTGAGGGAGAACATGGCGCAGGGGAAGACCCCGCGGAGGCGGCTGGACCAGGGTTTCCTGGTTCTAGGTGTGCAGGTGCAGAGTCCCTGTCCACAGGGGTCAGAGACTGGAGCGGTGAAAGGCAGGGCTCAGCTGTCTTGTTTTCTTTATTTTTGACCATTTTTTAAAATGTATTCATTTATTGGAAAGAGTTAAAGAGAGAGGGGGAGAGAGAGAGACAGAGAGAGGGATCTTCTACCTGCTGGTTCACTCCCCAGATGACTGTAACAGCCAGGGCTGGAGCCAGGAGCCAGGAGCTTCATCCAGGTCTCCCACATGGGTGCAGGGGCCCGAGCACTTGGGCCATTTATGCTGCTTTCCCAGGCCATTAGCAGGAAGCTGGAGCAGAAGTGGAGCAGCCGGGACACAAACCAGTGCCCTTAGGGGATGCTGGCACTTCAGGCAGCGACCTGAAGCTGCTACACCACAGCGCTGGCCCCAGCACAGAAACTTGTAACTTTATTGGAGTGCAGCTTTCCAGTTATGTGGTTCGTGGTTGTGCCTTTGGTGCAGTATCTGAAGTCCCCACCAGACCCAAGGTCATCTAGATTGTCTCCTGTGTTGTCTTCTAGGTTCTTTTTCCCCTAATATTTATTTATTTGAATGTCACAGTTATAGGGAGAGAAAGAGAGAAATTGTCTGTCTACTGGTTCACTCCCCAAATGGCCAAAACAGAGCTGGGCCAGGCCCAGAGCCTGAAGCCAGGAGCTTCATTCAGGTCTCCCACGTGGGTGTGGGGGCCCAAGCACTTGGGCCATCTTCTGCTTTCCCAGGAGCATTAGCAGAGAGCCAGATCAGAAATGGAGCAGCCAGGACCAGTGCACACAGGGGATGCTGGCGTCCAGGTGGTAGCTTAACCTGCTACACCGCAGCACCGGCCCTCTTCGGTTTCTGGTTTTTGGGTTTTTTTTTCCTGATCACACTTTTCATAGACGTCACAGACCCGATAGCTGTGACCTAACACAGCAGCCCTTTGCCCTGGGTCTGAATGGAAATCCCTCCCCTCCTTGGGAGCCGCTCGTCATACCGCACTTGGGGTTGGCCCTGACCCTCGGGCCCCTCCCCGCATGATCCCCGAGGAGCTCAGCAGAGCCCAGTGGAGCTGGAGGGTGCTGAGTGGCCAGGTGGTAGCGGGCACAGGGCCCAGCATGCACTGGGCTCCAGGGTCGGCTTTGGAGAACACTCATGCCGTCACCTCATGTCTGCCGGGCTTGGACGCTGCTTCCTCCCAGGCGGGCATTCAGAAGGCTTCACAGCCCCAACAGGTGTCATGATTCCCACTTCCCAGAAAGGGAAAGCAGTCTTCCCAGGGTCACACAGCTCGAAAGTCGTAAAATCCACCCCGAGTCCACAGACTGTAAATCCCACGTCTTCCTCACGTTGCTGTTATGAGACATCTACACAGACCCCTCCCCAGGCAAAGTCAGGCTGTTTCTCAGCAGAAGCCCCCCTAAGGATGCAAGAGGACACACTCGGGGGCATGACTGAGCCCCCCAACCCTTGTTTCCTGTTCTCCCTCCCTCTGAGCAGCCCTGTCTGTTTCCAGGGGTGTGCCAGGGAAGAAGTGTGGGACCATCCTGCTGACCGCAGAGGAACTTAGCAACTGTCGGGTCAGTAAGGGCCACGTGGCCGAGCCCGGAGCGCCTGCCCTTGTCTCTGCAGACCCCGTCAGTGGACTGTCCAAAGGCAGTGGGTATTCTGGGTGTCAACAGCCTGGCTTTCCCGTCCCTAGGACATTGCCACCATGCAGCTCTGTGCAAACAAGCTGGACAAGAAGGACTTCTTCGGGAAGTCAGACCCCTTCCTTGTGTTTTACAGAAGCAATGAAGATGGCACGTGAGTCCCTCAAGCCCCCAGGCCGGATGTGGGCCCATACTCAACCAGTGGGGGCCTCGCGGGAATCCCCAAGGGCATCTGGCCCTGTCTCTGCCCCCAGGGCGGGTTCCAGTCCTCACATCTCTGCAGGTTCACCATCTGCCACAAGACAGAGGTTGTGAAAAACACGCTGAATCCCGTGTGGCAGCCGTTCAGCATCCCCGTGCGGGCTCTGTGCAATGGAGACTACGACAGGTCTGTGTCGGCACGAGCTGGGCAATCCGGGGACCTGGGCATGACGGAGGTTCCTGGGCCCCAGAGCGATGACACACATGGCATGCATAGTAGTGTTATGGTAGGCAGTGGATAGCGACACGGATGAGGATGGATGGGTGGATGGATGAGTTAGCTGATGGATGGGTATAAAGTAGATGGATAAGCTTATAGCCAAAGAATTAACGAATGGGTAGTATGGAGACAGGTGGGTAAGTGGAGAGTAAAAGGTGCCCATCTCAGCATACATGGATGAGTGGATGGATGGTTGTGCAGGTGAGTAAGTGAACAAATGGGCAGGTTTTATACAGCGGAGTGGTTGGTTGGGTAGGAAAGTGGATGCAGACAGGTGGTTACTTGCATGTTTCAATGAGTTGGTGAGTGGCTGGATGTTCAGTGGGATAGACAACAAGATGTATTAATCGGTAACTGGATTCACAGGTGTACAGGTAGATGGGCGGCTAGGTAGATGGACACCGGTAGATAGACAGATGGGAGAACTCGGGCGTGGTCGCCAGGAACAAGGTCTGTGGGTCCAGAAGGTCTGAGTGTAGCTCTCGGCTCCACCACTAGCTATGGGATTGTAGCTAGGTTACTTTTTGGCATCTCAGTTTCCTATCCAAAATAAGAATAATGTACTTACTCGGGTTATTGTTAGATTAAGCATGATGACTTGCAGTAGTGCCTGGAACTCAGTACGACTCACCAAGTGGTGGCATGGCAGTGGTGGTGTCGTGATGGCCCTGGATGGCTGGGAACATGTACGGACGGATGAGCGGGCAGACTAGGGGCAGGCTGGGTGGCTGGGAGCATGGCTTGTGCGGGCTTAGGTGGAGCCGATGTCTTTGGGGTTTTTCATATACAACCTAAACTATGTTTACCTCTCGGTTGCAGAACGGTGAAGATTGATGTGTATGACTGGGACCGGGACGGAAGGTAGAACCGCCTCGCCTACTCCCCCGCGTACCTAACCCCGACAGCCCCTTCTCCTAGGTGCTGCACTCCCTGGGAAGCCTGCAGGGTGAGGGCAGATCCCAAGGCCTGCAGTCCAGGGGTTCCCTCAGCTGTCGCTTGGCTTCAGTGTCTCTTCCCTGTTCTTCCCTTTCATCTGGCCCCTTCTAGCTCCAGGCCTAGTGCCCTGCAGCTCGCGTAGGGACTTAGGACCAGGGGCATAAAAGACTGGGTTCAGGCCTGGCTCCAAACCAGCCCCAGTCTCTGCCTTCCTACCCCTGGCCCCATTGCAGCCATGATTTTATTGGTGAGTTCACCACCAGCTACCGGGAGCTGAGCAAGGCCCAGAACCAGTTCACGGTTTACGAGGTGAGCGCTCCAGCCCCGCCCAGGTGGCCCAGGCCTGTATCCCCCTGCGCTCTGTCCTCTGCACGGCTGCCTTCCCCCACCCAGGTACTGAACCCCCGGAAGAAGTGTAAGAAGAAGAAATATGTCAACTCGGGGACTGTGAGTGCCCTGGGGCCCCGGCTGCTCGGTTTCCCTCCCATTAACACAGCATGGCGAACGCTGGGGCAGGGACACCAGTGGCGCCACTTAAGGTTTTGCTTTATATTTTTTCTCACCCAGGAAAACGTTTTGATCTTTTGCAGAATGAATAAGATAACCCTACGTCATATTTCCCAAGTTACTGTACTTTCGGGAATCCGAGTGTTTCTGACGATGTCCCTTTGTTGTCCCTTCAGACACTGCGCGGGGTGGGACAGCTTGGGGCATGGGGTGGGATCAGTGCCCTGTCCCTTCTGCCACACCCGCCCTTTGCCAAGTGGCGGGGCTGCCTCTCCTGTCCCCCAGGTGACGCTGCTCTCCTTCTCGGTGGACTCTGAATTCACCTTTGTCGATTACATCAAGGGAGGGTGAGTCACGGGCCAGCCTGGACGGAAAGCCCGGTTCCCTTGTCGACGGCAGGGTCACAGCCCTGTGAGATCTTGGGGTGCACTGGGAACCCAGCAGGTGCCCCCTAGCACGCACAGTGTGGCCCCCCTGGTCTTCGAGCTGAGCCGGCTTCCAGGACAGGGGTCTCCGACAGTGATCTGACTGGGGCTGAGACAAAAGCTACGGCCAGTCAAGATGGGGATGCCCAGGCAGAGGGGGGAGCCAGGCAGAGTCTGGGGGCTGCTCGCTGGGGTCGGGGGGGCAGGCACCCCTGGGGCGGGTGGTCTGCTTCTCAGTGCACTGCAGCATACAGCGGGAGTCCTAATTATAACTCAGGACTGTAGCAAGGGTTAGATTCGATCACACGTGATCCACGCATCGCACAGGAGACAGACAACTCTGCTACTGAACGTGTGGTCCGGGGACCAGCAGCGTCGGCAGCTTCTTGGGCTTCCCCACCCCAGAGCTTCGGATTGGAATCTGCAGTTTAGCCTGAGCCCTGGCCGGCCACGTGCACGCTGATGTTGGAGAAGCCCTGGAGAGCCAGGGTCAGCTCCTCACTTCTCAACCCTCTACTTCCCACAGGACACAGCTGAACTTCACCGTAGCTATTGACTTCACGGCTTCCAACGGTAAGGCATGTGTTGGTAGGACTGGGGCTGGGGGGCTTCTAAGGGAATTCCTAGGCATTGGCCTGTATTCCCACCTGGGGGTACAAGTCCACTTCTCCCCAAGAAGCTCAGGATTACATAAAGCCTAGCCGAGATGGTACTGGCGTAGCAGTGTCGGAGGGAGATTTGGGGGTACAGGGGTTGGCAGAGAAGACAGGAGAGTACATGGCTAGATGTCAAAAAAGGCCACGGTGAAAGCTCAGCTGGTAGACGGGAGAGAGCAGGCGTACCACAGGATCTGGACACGTGATGCGTGGTTGGGCAGACAGGTGAACACGTACAGGTGGGTCAGAGAGTTGGCACAAGAGGTTGCACAGGTAGATGTGTGGGTAGGCGGAGGGACAGACCTTTAAGTTGGTAAAGTCACAGCCACGTAGACCGGGGAATGGGTGAGGGAATATGAGAATCCACAGACAAGTGTGTGGGTGGTGGATAGGAATGGCTGAGTAGGTAGAAGGGTAAAATAATGTGACTGTACGAATGGTCGGAAAAGGAAGAGAAACCGCAGGCGGATGGGTGGGTGGGTGGATGGATGGATGGATGGACGGACGGGGTGTGAAGGATGGACGGACAGACAGACGGATGGATGGGTGGATGGCTGTGTAAGAGAGAGGAGAGGTGGAGGGATACGTAGATTGAAAAGTGATTTATGGTCAGTATGGGTGAATGGACAGATAAATGAGTGGCTAAGTAGATGCACAGATACAGGTGGATAGATGAACAGTGGGTAAAATGGCCAGGGAGGGAATGGGTAGAGAGAGAGTAGCTGGACGCCAGGATAAGCAGGTGAACAGATGCGTAGCCCAGGTGACCACGGGGCTGGGGCTCCTGTGTCCCCCCAGGGAATCCTCTGCAGCCCACCTCCCTGCACTACATGAGTCCCTACCAGCTCAGCGCCTATGCCATGGCCCTCAAGGCGGTGGGAGAGATCATCCAGGACTACGACAGTGACAAGCTGTTCCCCGCCTACGGCTTCGGGGCCAAGCTGCCTCCCGAGGGAAGGATCTCCCACCAGTTTCCGCTGGTACGGTGTGCAAAGGCCAGAGTCGCCACCCCGTGCCCGAGGTCTGGTCCACCCATGCTAGGAGCTTCCTGGAAGGGCCAGGCCTGCAGGGGAACAGGAAGCCGAGAGGCTGGCAGAGCAGGGCCTGGGCGGGGCATGAAAGGGACCAGGATCAGGAGCTCCTGGGCGCCCCCTGCGTGTTCCTCCACAGAACAACAACGATGAGGACCCCAGCTGTGCGGGCATCGAGGGTGTGCTGGAGAGCTACTTCCAGAGCCTGCGCACAGTGCAGCTGTACGGGCCCACCTACTTCGCGCCTGTCATCAACCAGGTGGCCAGGTGAGCCCCACACAGGGTGCTGATTCCCCAAGGAGAGGCAAGAGCGCTCTTGGGCGAACTTGGGAGGGAGCGGAAGAGGTTCCCTGATACCTCGCTGTGGGAGGCAGGGATCCACCCCAACGCCACTCCCAGGCCTTGCGTTTGGACCAGAGAGAGAAGGCTGGTAGCACCGTGGGGAAGGCGCGGACCTGGGTATGATCCTGGCTGCACTGCTCGCTATGACCGTGTGACCGTCAGCAGCTTAGTCCACTTGAGGCTCCACTTCCTTCCTGTGTGGTGGTGTAGTCACAGGTGACACAGTAACGGCTTCTGCCCAGGGTTAGCACCATGCAGATCCCACAGCCGTGCAGGAGGTGTTACAAGTTGCTTTATTTATTTATTGAAAGGCAGAGATGGGGAGTGGGATCTTCATCCACTGGTTCACTGCCCTGATGCCAGCTAAAGCCTGCACTGGACCAGACCAGTGCCAGGAGCCAGGAACTCCATCTGGGTCTCCCATGTGGGTGGCAGGGACCCAGTGACTTGAGCCATCACCTGCTGGCTCCCAGGGTGCACATTCGTAGGAAGCTGGATGAGAAGCCGAGTCAGGACTGGGTCCCAGACACTCTGACATGGGATGCAGGTGTCCCGGGCAGTGGCTTAACACCCTCCACCACAGTGCCCCCACCCTGTAAGAGGTGTCAAAATAGTGTTTGGAGCTGGCGCTGTGGCTTGGTGTGTTACGCTGCTGCTCCCGACACTGGCGTCCCATATCCAGGTGCCCATTTGGGTCCTGGCTACCTTGTTTCTGAACCAGCTCTCTGCTAATGCACTTGGAAAGACAGGGGCAGATGGCCCAGGTGCTTGGGCCCCTGCCACCCATGTGGGAAACCCAGATGGAGATCCTGGTTCCTGATTTCAGCCTGGCCCCTACCTGGCTATTGCAGACATTTCGGGAGTGAATCAGCAGATGGAAGATCTCTCTGACTCTCCCTCTCTCTGTCACAGCACCTTTCAAATAAATAAGTCTTCAAAGTAAGCAAACAAAATAGTGCCTGACCCATAGGAGGTGCTCAATAAATGATAGTTTAAAAACTAGGGGAGCAATTTTCCAGATATTCAGAGTAAAAATATGCAAAGAACACTCAGATCATAAATCGAATGATTTTAAAGCGCAGAAAGTATTAAAAATAAAAGGATAGGACTGTGGCCAGCGCCACAGCTCACTAGGCTAATCCTCCGCCTGCGGCGCCAGCACCCTGGGTTCTAGTCCTGGTCGGGGCGCCGGTTCTGTCCCGGTTGCTCCTCTTCCAGTCCAGCTCTCTGCTGTGGCCCAGGAAGGCAGTGGAGCATGGCCCAAGTACTTGGGCCCTGCACCCCATGGGAAACCAGGAGGAAGCACCTGGCTCCTGGCTTCGGATCAGTGCAGTGCGCCGGCTGTAGTGGCTACTTTAGGGGTGAACCAGCAGAAGGAAGACCTTTCTCTCTGTCTCTCTCTCTCTCATTGTCTAACTCTGTCAAAATAAATAAATAAATAAATAAAAGGATAGGACTAAAACAAAAATACATCAACAAATATAAATGGGACAAAACTTGGTTGAGATTGAAAGAGAAAAAGAATTCCTGGATCAAAATGGTAAGTAAGCCCCACGGTGTAATGAATGCAAGAGATCCAGCTACCGCTCGTGGAAGGATTCTCAGATTCTTAGTTACAGAAGTCACACGCACTGCTGTAGCAAGTTTCAGACAGAGAAATGAGGTAGGAAATTGCCCTGGATACGGCATGCAGGAAGGGGATGGACAGATAGGTATGAGGGGTCTTGAAAAAGTCCATGGTGCTGGCATCTGGGGTAGCAGTTAAGACACCGCGTGGGGCGTGGGTACGGTAGCACAGCGGACTGAGCTGCCACGTCGGGCCCACGTCCCGAACTGGAGTGCCTGGTTCAAGGCTCACCTCTGACTCTGATCAGTTCCTGCTAATGTACCTGGGAGGCACAGATGGCAACCCACGTACTCGACCCAGGCACGTGGGTGACCCAGATGGAGTTCCTGGCTCCTGGCTTCTGCCTGGCCAAGTCCTGGCTGTTGCAGACATCTGAGTAACTGGTAGATGGAAGAGATCTCTCTCCTCCTCTCTCTGTCACTCTGCCTTTCAAGTAAATTTTTTAAAATCTTAAAAAAAAAACAACACATGGGACCCCCACCCCCATCCGACATCAGAGTGCTTGGGGGCACGAGCTCCACCCTTGATTCTACCTTCCTTCAGATGCGCCTGCACCTTGGGAGGCAACCCTGATGTCACAAACACATGGGTCCCTGCCACTCATGTGGGAGACCTGGATTGATTGCTCATCCTAGCCCAAGTTGCTGTAGACATTGGAGGGGTGATCCTGCAGCTCGCATCTCTCTCTCTCTCTCTCTCTCTCTCTCTCTTCCCCTCTCTCTCTCTCTCTCCCCTTTTTTCCCTCTTTCTCTCTCTTTCTGTGCCTCTCAAATAAAATTAAAAAAAAAAATAAGTTCATGGGAAATGCCTATGACAGGAAAGTATGCAAAGATTTCTGATTTTTTTGCACCAGCATAAACTTACCTTTTAGTTCCGTTTTGCATGAACTTGCTGAAGTAGCTGCATGTGACTGGCACGCTGTGAGACCTGTGTGCGCGTGCAGTGCTGTCAGTGTGTGAACACCGCAGAGTGCTCTCACACACACCTAGATGGCACAGCCGCGGCACACCTGGGCAGAGCCGCTGCTCCTGCAGCTGTGGTGATGAGACAGCGTGAGGGTGAGGCAAGCACAAGCAAAAACAGCGCCACCAAGAGACACGGTCAACACGAGGCTGCTGCTGGCGGGACACGGCTGCTTTACCATCACCGTTGTGCACTTGAGAGGCAGAGGCAGACAGAAAACCCCCCAAATGCCCACAGTGGCCTGGGCTGGCTGGGATGGGGAAGCCAGGAACCCAGAACTCAATCTGGGTTTCCCTCCTGGGCTGCAGGCACCCAACTCCTTGAACCATCAGCCGCCGACTCCCAGGGCGCACATGAGCAGGAAGCTGCAATGGCAGAAGGAGCTGGGGCTCAAACTCAGGTCTGCAGCCTGGGATGTGGGCGTCCCAGGTGCTATTTTAACCACTGGGCCAAGTGCCTGCCCCAATCTATCTTTATAAGCGGAGGGAGAACACGTTAAAATAACAGGACCGCAGGACGGGAAGCCATCACGTGCAGTGTACCAGCCGTGGTGCTGCGTGCCCCGCTTTCGTAGGACTGGCACACAGGGGCCGCGCCAGTACCAGCCCCACGCATGTGGGAGGAGGCCGGGCCTTGCTCCCTGCATCACCGAGTGGCAGGGGTTTTTCTGCTGGATTGAAAGCTTAGGGCACCGCCACCACGTGTGCGGTCTGTCGCTGACCGAGACAGCGGCACGAGGCACACGACCCGGGCTCCTGATTGTCTTTCTTCCCCATCCCTAACCGGGCCAAATCACTTAGAACACTTGACTCCTGGTCTGTTCACTGGTGCAGGTGCTGCAAGCCTTAGTGTGGTTTTCGTTGTTAGAGGGAGACGTCCACGCCCTCTCGGGCCACGGCACTGACCCACGTGTTCCCTCTTCTAGTGAAGGTGCAGCAGAGGGGCAGTACAGCGAGACCAGCCGAGAGCACCTGCTGTGTGGCTTTGGTCAAGACTCTTGACCTCTCTGTGCCTGCCTCCTCGTTGGCAGAACGCACGTCTCTGCGGCAGGGTGGCTGTGAGGACTGAGTGATACGTGTCAAGCACCTGGCAGAGCGCTCACAGCCGCCTCAGTCCTGAGCGCCTGCAGCTCTCCCTGCCACTGTTGTTACCGCTGTTGCTATTCCGAGGGCGTCTGCTGTGTTCTCAGTTCTCTGCTGGGCACCGGAGATTCACACAGACGTCAGGTCGAACCCCTGCCCTTGGGAGCTGCTGGCCCTGGGCAGGGCACAGAAATATAAATCAGTCATTGCCTTCTGCAGTCCAGAGGGCCCCTGACTTGCTGTCGGCAAAGGCCGGTGATGGCGCCCTCTGGGGGAACCAGGGGCGCAGCCCGAGGCAGCCAGGCTGTGACCGTCTTTGAAGTCTCTAGATCTGACTTTTATAATGCATTTTAAATTTCTGTACGTTTTATATTCTGCTCATATTGCATCGCTGTTTGCTTTCGTTTCGGGAACAAAGTGTCTTAGTGTACTTAATACAGCAGATCATGTGGCAGGAGAGTTGGCCTTGGGTCCCCCCTGCAGACAGGGCGTGGGAGCCGTGGAGGAGCAGACAGCCCATCCTGGTGGCAGGGAGAGGAAGGCGAGCAGGCGCAGAGCAGAGCTGGGCGCAGGAATGGCGTGTGAGGGGCGCAGAGGCAGCCACCAAGGCGTTCACGAACAGGGAGCCATTCCTGTGCCCGGCGAGGACAGAGTCCGTGCAGGGCACCTAGCGGGCGGCCCAGGAGAGGAGGCTGTTGGAACCAGGAGCTCAATCCTTTGGGTCGCTGAGCCCCAGTTTCATTTAAAATCAGTAGCAGACAAAGTGCCTGCCCCGTAGAATGGAGGTAAGCACTGAACAAACCGCCTGCAGCAGGTGTGCAGCTGCGGCTCTGATGCGTGCGGCCACCCCCGTGTTTCCCACCCTTCAGCTGCCGCCTCCACGGCAAAGTGCACCTCCCGACCCCTCCGTGACGCTCAGGGCCCCCAGGTGTCACATCCTTCGTGTGTGGGCCCTTGCCCGCAGTTCTGTGACTTCTGTGGTTCACCTCTCGAATGGCCTCCATGGCCAGGGCTGGATCAGCTGAAGCCAGGAACCCGACACTCCATCCGTGGCTCCCACATGGGCAGCAGGGAGCCAAGCACTTGGGTCATTTTCTGTGGACTTCTTAGGCGCATTAGCTGGAGCTGGATTGGAAGTGCAGCACCCAAGACTTGAACCAGCATTGCAGGCAGTGGCTTAACTCCCTGAGCCACGACGCCACCTCCTTTCATTAATGTAATTATTTTAAAAAAAAGATTTATTTATTTGAAAGGCAGAGTTACAGAGAGAGAGAGGGAGAGTCAGAGAAATATTCTGTCCATTGGTTCACTCCCCATATAGCTACAACAGCCGAAGCTGAGCCGATCCGAAGCCAGGAGCCAGGAGCTTCTTCCAGGTCTCCCATGTGGGTGCAGGGGCCCAAGGACTTGGGCCATCTTCCACTGCTTTCCCAGGCCATAACAGAGAGCTGGATTGGAAGTGGAGCAGCCGGGACATGAACCGATGCCCATATGGGATGCTGGTACTGCAGGTGGCGGCTCTACCCGCTATGCCAAGCCCCGGCCCTTGGCCCTCATGAACGTACATTTCAACAGTCGCAAGCAGCTGGGGCTCCCTTAGCAGACAGCACGGCTCTGTCCTTTCCAATCCACACAGGACTTGAGACTGGAAGTCGAGAGAACAGGTCGGCTGCTGCCTCTGTGCCCTCTCTAGATCTCACTTTCCTTAGGTGTAAGATCAAGGGACTGGACTTGATGGCTTCCCAAGTCCTTTTCAGATAGAACTTGGATGCTGAGACGGGAAAAGGAGCTCAGGCGGCAGCAGACTCCGGGTGGACCGCAGGGGACCGACCAGCCAGGCAATGGGACACGTGCTCCACAGAGGGAGAAGGGAGAGAGAACCTGGTGGGGAGGGGCAGGAAGCCGCCTTGGGCCTTTACTCCTGCTCCTCTAACAGCATCGCGCCAGGGGGCTTCCGTGCCCCTCAGCGCCCTGCCGCTCTGCTTCCCTCGCTTTCTGCTTTCTGCCCTCCAGACCGGGCGGGCCGCCTGCAGTCCCCTGACAGGGCGTTTGGCCAAGCTGCTCTAGCAGTGTCACTTCCTCAAAGGACCCTTGCTGACCTCGAGGCCGGGTGCCCTTCCGTGCCAGTGTTCGGCACCGTGTCATGCCTGGCTTGAAGTCAGTCCATGTCCCTGCAAAGGGCTGAGGTGGCCGGCTTTTCCTCCTGGCACGGGGAGGGCGCAGGTGGAGGCCAGCCGGCGGCCCAGCTCCCGCCCCCGCTCAGACCCCTCCCGGCTGCCGGTGGACTCTGATCCCGGCCTCTCCCCCAGGGCTGCAGCCAAGATCTCCGATGGTTCTCAGTACTATGTTCTGCTCATCATCACCGACGGGGTCATCTCCGACATGACACAGACCAAGGAGGCCATCGTCAGCGTGAGTGTGCGCGAGGGCTTGGGGAGGGGCAGCAAGTTAGCCTGGCAGTTGTGTGGACGCTGGCGGAAAATGCAAGATTTCTGCATAGAGACAAAGGGCTGTGCGACTCCAGGCAAGAGCAGCGGCTGGAGTGCGCACTGGCTAGGCTCTCAGTCCCGTTCCCCGCAGGATGTCAGGGGCCACGGGAGCTTGCACCCACTGCGGGCTGCGCTAGGGAACCTCTGCCTGCCCTTCGTTCCCGCTGGGAGAGCTTTGTGAATTTACTGCACGGTCAAGAACCTGCCCTCTACCCTAGAGAAAGACACTGTATCTTTCAGAGCTGCTTGACACGCAAGCATCCTTGAAAAAAAGCACAGTGTGGAATCAAGAGAAACAGTGTCTGCTCGCAAGCTGTGGGGAGGGGTCAGGGCTGCGGGCCCAGCCACCCCTCTCCTCACAGGCCTCCTCGCTGCCCATGTCCATCATCATCGTCGGTGTGGGACCGGCCATGTTTGAGGGTGAGTACGGCTCGGGGGGCGGTCCATGAGCAGGACTAAGAGCTGGGCGGGCAGCGGCTGGGGCTCTCAGACCTGCCTCACAGGAAAGACGGGGTCCCGCGGGCAGCTCCACACCTGTTCACAGCAACAGCCACAGCCAGTGACACTGCTGTTCCCCCACCCTCGGGTTCCTGGGGGGGGGGGGGAGGCCGCAGTAATGATGACTCCGTATCGGCGTTTAATACCAGGACTAGAAGGCCGCCGTGAGGTACTCTGACAGCGCCGAGCGGAGCTGAGAGTAGGGGCACCAGGGTTGACCCTGCAGCTGAGGGGGTCTTTTTTGCAGCCATGGAGGAGTTGGACGGTGACGATGTGCGCGTGTCCTCCAGGGGGCGCTATGCGGAGCGGGACATCGTTCAGGTAGACCTGACCAGCCAGAGGTGGAGGGGAGAGGGGAGGCTGAGGTGGGGGCCAGGGCCGCTGCCTCCCCCTCGCCCTCATCCATTGAGCACTGGAAGGGCTGGGAGACCCCCGAGGTCCCTGCAGGGCTCGGCGTCAGGATGGAAGCAGCAGGCTGCAGAGCCCACTTGATGAGCCTGCGATGGGCGTGGGACCAGGTCCCAGGTGCTGGGACGGCCAGGCCGGGGGAGCCTGGCAGGGAGCCCTGCACTCAGCTGCCAGCGGCTGGGTTTGAGGGTCCTTGAGCACTGAGTGAGGAGGTGGCAGGGCCAGAGACGGGTGTGCCCATCTGAGCGTCCTTAGAAACAGGTGGCTTTCTCCCTAACTTCTCCCTCCCCTTGGCCGCCCCCCTCTCCTGGGCCTCCTCTCCTCCCCATCACCCCACTGACGCCTCACCTCCCCCCTTCTGCGGCTCCTGCTCCCCTGGCCCCCTCCCCTTCTCCCTGTCCCTCCCTTTACCTGCAGAAACCCGTTTTTAAAGCCACAGAAGTGTACACGGTCACCCAGGAAGAGAATTCAGAGAGACGGGACCAGGATTAGGGAGCCTGTAGACAGAGGCACTGGGGAGGGGCTTCTAGTCCAGGGGGCTGGCCAAGGCAGTGGGAGGAGGGGTCAGGATGAGGACTGTGCCCACTGCACCCACCGTGGGGATTTCACGACCCCATTAGGGGAGAAGTCCAACAGAAACAGGAGGAGGGAGCCGAGTTAGGAGAAAGCCACTTAGAAACCTGCCCAAGGTGTGGGGGCGGGTAGAAGCCTGACCAAAGTGTGGGGCGAGAATGCGATACTGGACAGGTGCTGGGTGGGAGCAGAGCAGCGCCGGCCCACACCCTCCCGTGTCTGCCTGCCCCAGTTTGTCCCATTCCGAGACTACGTGGACCGCTCCGGAAACCAGGTGCTGAGCATGGCCCGCCTGGCCAAGGACGTGCTGGCCGAGATCCCCGAACAGCTGCTGTCCTATATGCGCACCAGGGACATCCAGCCCCGGCCCCCGCCGCCCGCCGGCTCCAGCCCAGCCCCAGCCCCAGGGCAGCCCTGAGGACTCGCACCCGCTGCCGCTGCTGGAAGCCAGGGCCCGTCCCCGGGCGGCCCGGCGCGCTCGCCACCTCCCTGCGCTGTGCCAGTAATAAAGCTGATATCGACTCGGCTCTGCCTGCTGGGGTCACGCCGAGAGGGAGGGCGCGGTGGGCAGCGCCCGGCCGGCTTCATCCTCCTCCCGACACGGGCTCCCGGGTGACCCCTGCGCCTTCTGCAAACTGCGTGCGCGCCCCCCAGGAGGGAGGCCCCGTAGCTTTCCTTGGGTGGTCACAGGGGTCCCTGGCCTCAAAGGGGCTGCTTGAGGCGACCCTGGTCTCCTGTGAGCGCTCGCTACACGCAGGATCGCACGGGGTCCTCTCGGGGACCCCGCGGGCCAGGGACCACCCGCGGTCCGCACTCCACGCGTGTTTACAGGCTCACACGCGGATCCCAGAAGCGCACCCAACAGGTCGAGATTTTTGGGAAAACGTGACGGAGGACAACACAGGCACGGCGAGAGGGCGGGGTCCCCGGAGCCCCACAGCCGACAAATGCGTCTTCCACACCTAGAGCCCGGGAGCCCGGGCCGCCCGCGGCGTCTTCCCCGGGCCGCGTCCCGTCGCCCCCAGCCCAGCTGCCCAGCTGCAGGCCCGAGCAAGGCTCCGCCCTTTCCCGCCCCGAGCCGCGGCGGCAGGCCCCGCCCCGGCGGCAGGCCCCACCCACGAAGCCCCGCCCCGGCGGCAGGCCCCGCCCCGGGCCGCGTCCCTCCGGCTCCCGGGCCTGCCCCCCGTCCCGCCCCGCGCCTGCGGCCCCGCCTCGCCGCCTCTCGCGGAGACCTAGGCCAGGTCCCTACCGCAGCCGCCGCGCCAGCAGGAGGGCGGGAGCAGCGAGGGAGGCGGCGGAGGGGGAGGGGAGAAGGGCGGGCTCCTCACGCCCAGCCCGGCGCTCGCCGTCCGCGTCCGCAGATTCGCCACAAACGGCCCGGCGACCGCGGACCCCCGAGCCCCCGCGGGCTCGGGGCCCAGAAGCTGGACTCAGAGATGGAGGTGCTGGATGAGCCCTGCCACACGTCCAGGAGCGTCCCCCGAGCCGCGCAGCACGGCCACGGGAGCCTCGGCGGCCCTGCAGCGAGCCGTGGCGAAAGTGCGGCCCGGCTGCGCCGCGGCGCCGCGTTTACCCTGCGCAGACGCCGTCGCCTCCGCCGCTGCCGCTGCCGCTGCCACTGCCTTTGCCGCCACGGTCCCCGCCGCCGCTGTCCCCGCGCTGCCTCCGGGAGCCTCTATTGTTCCGGCCGCGCCGCGTCCCGAGGCCAGGCAACCTAGGGACTTGGGAAACGGGCAGCGGCCGGCGGAGTTGAGACGCGGGGGCGCCGGCGGGGCCGGGAGCGGCAGGGGTCAGCGCGTGGGGCGGCCAGGGGGCCGGGGTGGCGAGACCCGAGGTCTGCAGCGTTGGGGTTCGCCCTCCCCGGCCCGCCTTTCCCCGCCGGCCTCCCCGGGAGGGGTCGGAGCCCCGGCGGGCGCCCCCGGCGATGAGCCCGGACTCGAGGTGGCCGGTGAGTGCAGGCCTGGGGCCGGGACGGGAGTGGCCGGCGGCGAGGGGCGTCCGCGGGGCCGCGGCCGCCGGAGGCGCTGACAGCGCGCTCCCCCCAGCGCGCATCCCGGGCAACAGTGTATCCTTGGGGGCCGCCGGAGCCAATGGCCGGAGGCGAGCCCCGCTGAACTTGTAGCAGTTCCGACAAAGGGGAAGCGCCGCCGCATCCGGGAGAGGCTGCGGGCAGGGCCGGGCCGGGCCTCCGCCCCCCGCTTCCTGCAGCCCCCGCGCCCCGGGGCCGCGCCGGCTCCCCGCGGGGTGTTGCCGGAGCCTGGGCGGCCGCCTGGGACCCGGCTTGTTTGTGCGTGGCAGGCTGGTGTTGAGAGAGAGCCGGCGGGCCGGAGCAGGAGGGAGCTGGAGTTGAACTTGTGGCTGCACTGCCGTGCTGAGGGGCTGTAGGCAGGGCCGGGGCAGCGCAGAGGAGGGGTGAGCGTTTGTCCGGGAGCTCAGGGCGGCTTTGCCTGCCGGGGCCCTGGCTGGGCGGAGCGGGAGAGCGCGGGCAGTCCCTGGCCAGGCCGGGCGTCCTGGAGCTGGTGCCGTCTGTCCGCCCTCACCCAGGAGGCTGTGTGTGTCCGCGGGACCTGGCGCTCGGTTGAGCTGCGAGCGTGGGCGAATGCAGGGCTCCCACGCGCCCCGCTGCTGCCCTAGACGGGCTGGCCTCCGGTCTCGCTTGCTGCCCGGTCCATCTTCCACTGCAGCGCCAAGGCCGGGGATAAAGCGGTCACTGCTACAGCGCACTCACTTCTGCCGGCTCCTCGTTCAGGCCGCGAGTGGGAGCGAAACTAGCTTTCATCCCGGCGTGGCGGCTCCAACCCTGGGGGCCTCCTGCAGCTGTCCGCGCAACAGGTTATTCCAAAACCTGAGGCCGGTGCATGCTGGGACCCGGCAGACCGCGCGGGGTCGGCTCTGGCGTCCGCCGTGCAGCGCCCCGTCTCCTGTAGCGGGCCTTGACAGCGGCCAGCGTGGAGGCCGGCGTGGTGGTGAAGGTGGGAGCGGATGCTCTGCAAGTCGGGCCCCCCACGGCAGAGCAGAGAAGCCGTGGCGGAAGTGTCGGTGGGCCGAGCTGTGCAGTAGGAGCCCGCCACTCGGGGCGGAGGCGTCGCGGGTGACAGGCTGTCCCGTTCAGGGAGTGGCTGCCCCTCGACAAGGCCCTGGACAGGGAACCAGAGCCCCACGGCGGGAGAGCTCCTGGAGTCTGGCCGGAGAGAAGGTGGACAGGGCTGGGGGGCGGCAGGAGGGCGTTAGGACGCTGCCGGACCCCCGCTGCTTGGCGGCCTCCCGTGAGGTCAGCGGAGAGGAGTTGAGACACGGGCAGGGTGACCGTGCACGACCAGGGACGAGGTGGGCCGAGACCGCGGACCCCCTGGGGAGGACGGGGGCTCCCCGCAGGCCTGCGCTGACTGCTGTGTGTGTTCCAGATGTGACAGCATGGGGGTGGACTTCGACGTGAAGACGTTCTGCCACAACTTGCGGGCGACAAAGCCGCCGTACGAGTGCCCCGTGGAGACCTGCCGCAAGGTCTACAAGAGCTACAGCGGCATCGAGTACCACCTGTACCACTATGACCACGACAACCCGCCCCCCCCGCAGCAGACCCCGCTCCGCAGGCACAAGAAGAAGGGGCGCCAGTCTCGGCCCGCCAACAAGCAGTCCCCCAGCCCCTCCGAGGTGTCGCAGTCTCCAGGCCGTGAGGTGATGAGCTACGCGCAGGCGCAGCGCATGGTGGAGGTGGACCTGCACGGGCGCGTGCACCGCATCAGCATCTTCGACAACCTGGACGTGGTGTCCGAGGACGAGGAGGCCCCCGAGGAGGCCCCCGAGAGCGGCAGCAACAAGGAGAACAGCGAGGCCCCGGCCGCCGCGCCCAAGGCCGGCAAGCACAAAAGCAAGGAGAAGCGCAAGGACTCCAACCACCACCACCACCACGGCGCGCCCGCCAGCACCACGCCCAAGCTGCCCGAGGTGGTGTACCGGGAGCTGGAGCAGGACACCCCGGACGCCCCGCCCCGGCCCACTTCCTACTACCGGTGAGGCCTCTGGGAAACTGGTCAGGCGAGGCTCGGGCGTGCCTCAGGGGGCGGGGGTCCAGCCCGGAGGAGGAACACTGGCCTGCCAGGACTGGGAGAGCGGTGGGACCCTGCCGATCGGGGCCAGCCCGCACTCGGTGTGGGGCAGCCACTCCTCATTCTGGTCTCCTGACTCTAGAGGAGGTGTGGCTCTCATTCACCAGTCCAGAAAATGCCGGACGTAAGGAAGTTCCCGTGCCGGTGGGTAGCTGGACTGGAGTCAGAGCCGCTCCTGTGGCTCCAGAGCTGTGCCCTGCCGCTCCCTCGCTGTGGGAGAGCGGCCGCAGCGAGAGGGAGAAGGCCAGGGCCCCGCGAGCCGTGTCCGCACTGTGCGGTCAGGGTCAGCAGCACGCGTTCTGTACTGTCCCTCCTGCTTGTTTTCACTTCATGGCTTCTTTGTATCCCATTCCTTCCAAAACTTAGCCAGGGGCTGGGTTCGCACTGGGGTCACAGGCAGCACAGGGGTAAATCCCATCCTTGTGAGGTAGAAGACGAAGGGGCGGGGCCACTGTGGTGAGGAACCTGCAAGGGGACGTCCTCGCGGAAGCGGGGCTCACAGCCTCGGCCTGGAGCCCCCAGAGCAGTCGGGCCGGGCTCTGACGGGTCTGGGGTAAAGGGGTGTGCCGTGGAGATGCTCCGTGTGACGGTACAGGGTAGAGGGGTGTGCCGCGGAGATGGTCTGTGTGACGGTACAGGGGAAAGGGGTGTGCCGTGGAGATGGTCCGTGTGACGGTACAGGGTAGAGGGGTGTGCCGTGGAGATGGTCTGTGTGACGGTACAGGGGAAAGGGGTGTGCCGTGAAGATGCTCCGTGTGACGGTACAGGGGAAAGGGGTGTGCCGCGGAGATGGTCCGTGTGACGGTACAGGGGAAAGGGGTGTGCCGCGGAGATGGTCCGTGTGACGGTACAGGGTAGAGGGGTGTGCCGTGAAGAGCGGTCTGTGTGACGGTACAGGGGAAAGGGGTGTGCCGTGAAGAGCGGTCTATGTGACGGTACAGTACATCTCTGTCCTTAAGGCAGACCTGCGGGGACACAGCCGTGTGGCCCAGGGTGAGTCTTCGGTCCCTCCCCACTGGAGTTTTGCCGGTCTCCCTCCCTCCCTGTCTCCCATGGGTGCAGCCGGCTCTGCCTTTCCGCTGTGTCCTCTGCTCTGAGGTGCCGACTGCCGTGCCCACGCTCACCCCTCGGCGGCCTCCCCTCTCCTGGCTTTCAGCTCTGTCTGCTCTGACGCCAGCCCGCCTGCCCGCCCGGCTCTTTTCTTCAGGAGGCCGCCTCGCAGAGGCCGTCTCCCCGGGACCTGATCTCCCCAGGGAGCAGTTTCGCTCGCTGCGCTGCAGTCATTTGGCAAGTGTGTTGCCTGCCATTTGTTTCCGTCATTAGTGAAACTGCCCGAGTTTTATGAATGACTTACTTTTTTCATAAATTGGACAAGATCTGAGGTCATGTCTCTAATACCATCCCTTTTGCCTGAAAAAAAAATTTATTTGA